GCGATTATTAATTGAATAATTAGGAGTCCCGAGTGTGATAGGCGCGTCTATGCTCGGCCAAATCAGCGATCCCCTATGATTATCGCTCGCGCATTTAAATGTCATTTAATGATTATTTCCGACAAGATTAATAATAGTGCCTTGGAATAAGGGGGGCGCAACGACAAAACGACGCGGTGAAAATTTCGTAATACCCGTGCAATGAAACGCTTGACTCTTCGACCGATTGCAATCTCTTGGCAATTCAAAGCACACGGCAATCGACTAATATCTATTATTTCAAAATCTTTACTTATTTAATGGGGTGGAAGAGATGGGTGGAGAGGGGGAGGGGGAGGGGGAGGGGGAGGAGTGAAAATTAGACAATCATACGTAACTTAATTACGGCCGATTAAGCTCTATAAAGCGACAAAGCACATAAGTCGAGATGCACGTACAATCCATGATATTATTAAGAATTGAATGCAATTATATGGGAGTGGAAGTGATTTTAAAAGTAGCATGCATTTTACTGTATCTCTTGAGCGACTTTGTGCAGCCATTGCTTGCCATTGTTATTGTTTAAGATACATCTGGGAAATGCCATTGCCCGTGCATTGAGTGCATTTGGGATTACGGATGAATGTGAAAAAAGCTGTAATGCCGTTTCAGCCATTGAGAGTGAAGCTCGTGCGAGCGTAGGTGGACTGTGCGCTTAGCCATACAATGTGCTCATCGATTGTTTGTCTTTGTGCACGACTTGGAAACAGTACACTCACAGCCAGGAGGCGGCTTGCCCTCTTTTGCCAGAAAGTCTTACATCCTATGGCAGTGATCATTGCAGCCGACGTGGCGCTCACGTAGGCGACTGCCAGCTGGTTCATTCCTGTTCGTGTAATTAACGAGGGCGTTGAACGACTGGTTGACCCATTGCCAGAACACCACGGCCGTCGTCGTCCTTTAAACGATTGTTAATTTGTTTTTTTGTTTTTTTTTTTCATTTATTAATTGATGGTCGAACATTGGGCTCGTAAGCCGAGACGCGCGATGACAATTTTAATTAAAACGATGCGATATTAACTTTGCGAATTAACCGATTGTGAAATAAGTTTTGAGGTAAAAATACGAATTCTTTATGTAATCGGTCGGATCAGTTATTTATATAAAGGAAAAGAAAGGGAAGAGGCAGGTGAGTGAAATGAACGATCGATGAATGTTGAAGAAATGTTATGCTAAATAAAGATAAATGCATACCACGGTTCGTTAGTGTATCCGTTGTGAAAATCTAAGTAATTACGATTATTAAAATTATGATATAACTGCTTGAAATGTGTAAAAATATGCATTTTTTTTTTTTTTTTTTTTTTTTTTTTTTGACAAAAATATATTTTCTTATTTTTAATTTATGCATACACATAAACACGTGCACACGTATATATATATATATATATATATGCTCTATTTATTTTTATTACAGACAGATCATTATTGTTGCACTTGAGTCAATTGTATGAAACGTAAGACAAATTTCCATGTGTTTCCATTTTATACTAACTTATATTTTTATAAGCTAATGATCATAAAAATTATCATCATTTTTTTTAGAAAATTAGCTTTTCCAATGCTATAATTATCATGATATAAATTCATTATATTCTCTTTGTAGTTTAAGAAAAATGATATAAACATTTATACGTAATGCCAAGTGCGTTACTTTATAAAGATTTCATTAACGAACGCGATAATTAAAAATGAAAAGAAAAATTGTATTTATCCCTTGCATTTAACACAATGAAAATCAAAATTTTAAAAAAATTACTTTTTCAGCAATGTATTTATTCATAATATTAATGCATTAAATTATTAACTTTATTACATTTTTTTTAATGATATTTCTATATTGCGAATGATTCATGTTAATTCAATAATTTTTATGAAGATGTAATGTAGTATTTTAAAATTGATAAGTTAAATTATGTTAACGACTCAAACGAGTGACATTGCTCATAGAATAGAAATTTTTCTCCTACCTTGAATATTTTGAATTAGTTTTAGAACTATTTTACTTTATTAAATACATGAATATGTAAAATAGTCGCAAAATACAAAGGAGTATTATTTAACGATCGATTAATCGATTTCGAAATTTTGCAAATGAAGGAAATGAAATAATATATACAGTCAATTTAATATAAATTATGCAATAGTATTACCATACCATCGTGTTTCTAATAAAAAGTACCTGTAAAATTGTAGCATGGCACCAGTGATGAGCATACCTCCGGGAACCTGAAAAGACATTCTGCCAAAGACATTTTGCAGATCGCCACTATCCGGATGAAACGAAGACTCGTAGAGTTTTTTTGCATAAATAATTTCCTCCTTCGTCGTTTCCTTTGGCTCCTTCTTCAGTCTGAAAAAAAAAGCAACGACAAATTATTAGGGAAACGAGCATCCTATTATCCCTCTTATTCAAGAGCGAATTTGCACAACGTGCAAATCGCTTAATGCTGCGAAAAGAATAAACTTGAAGGTTCGAAGCATCTAAATAGACTCATATACCCGAAATTGTCACACGATTACTTGATTATCAATAATTAAGTGTCCGGTGTAATGCAAACTTCCGGTGCGTATGCATTGGCGCAGATTCTATTTCATCACATTTCTCATTTAAGAAACAAATCAAAAACAAAACAAAAAACAAAAAAAACAAACAAACAAACAAACAAACAAACAAACCAACATTAGCATTAAAGATTATCTTCGGGTGCACGAGACACGCGACAACAATGAAGGAAATAAATGCAAAATAATGTATAAGCTTAATTTATAATTATATTGTTTTCAAAGTAAGGAAATGACAAGAATAACCTCAGAAAGCATTTTATTTCAATGAGAATTTAACGGATGTGCTACGCCTTACATCATTATCATTATCTCGAAGAATCATTACCATCGATGTCTATACTATTTATTCGCCATATCGATAGAGTTTAATTAATAAAGCGTTGGAAGTGTTTGTTCATTAACAAATTGATTGCATTTTGCATTAAAAATAGCAATATATTATCGTTGCCGCGGTATAGCCAAGGTTGGTCGTGGGCGGTAGTTGGATCGATAATAAAATTCCACTATTCCCATTACTCGGCGATTCGTATCAATAAATGACAATAAAGCCGTTAAGCACTGTCGACGATAAGTCTTATCGCATTATCGGTAATGAGAATGGTAGTATCATTAAAATTTCTCTTCTATCGGAGACCGAATGATTCAACGATCTCGTATTCACCACTTATGAACTTAAAGTATTGCGTGAATTACGTAATAGACGGAGAGAAGAGAAAAAAGGAAAAAAGAAAGTACTTGCGCATAATGATTAGATAACGAGTTACGGTATTATGTCGTTGACGTGGAGAAGGGTTGCGAGGCTTAAAAAGTAAATAAAAGTATACGTTAGTCGATACGTGGGAGAATGTGTCGATTGATTGCGAGAAGCCGCTTGAGAAGATGCGAATGGGAATTTGAGAAAGCCTTTGGCAATCTCCTTGACATTCGCAGGCCACATAACATGGACAAACAAAAATTTGCTCGTCGGCTCGATCGATTAAGAAGCTCGACCAATGAATGGGAGACGTAATGGGGCGAGGAAAAAAATAAACAAAAAAAAACAAAGGGCAAGAGGCAAACGAATTGCGGATTAGCGTGTCGATTAAACGATTATTCGAGCACTGACAGTGACGGATATAACGGGTGTCGTTTTATTAGCGATTGTTAATGTCTCGAGTACCTATATTTTTGGCATAGCTCTTTCGCGCGCAAGAGCTCCTTCTCGTCTTTGATGCACGTGCGAAAGTCCGTGATCCAGGCGAAGTGCTTCCACCGGCCCAGGAAGGTCCGCTGGTCCCAGAGGGGCTGGTCCAGGTCGATCCTCTCTTTGCTCATTCTGAAACGAGCGACTGCCGCCGAGAGCTCCTAAAAGCGCAAATCGAGTTGAGCGCCGGTCCTTTTGAACGGGGAGCGAAGCGCGCGCAGCCCCCGCGTAAAAATAGTCGATCGCCGCGACGAAGGAGGCGCGGCCAGTGTCGACGAGTCTCCCAGAGACGTCGTATTTTCGGCGGCGGCGGCGGCAGCGCCGGCAGTGGCGGTGACGACGGCAGCGGTGGTGGTGGTAGCTGTAGCAGCCTCGGTAAGCCCAATGGATTTTTATAATTAGCCTGTCGGTATCGTCGTCGGCGGCGGCGGCGGCGGCGGCGGCGGCGGCGGCGGCGGCGGCTGTGAAGGCTCAAGGGCTCGGAGCGAAGAAGAGACCGAGAGTGCCGGAGTCGAGAATAGAGGGACCCGAGCAGCTCGCGGACTAGAGAGGCCCGAAGGAGGATCGATGAGACTCGGGCCTCGGCAACTCGTACTCAAAAACTGCCTCTCTCTCTCTCTCTCTCTCTCTCTCTCTTTTCCTGGGGACAGAGGCCGCCTCCGTGTACACGGGGGCTGTACCGCTCTCAGACCATCAGGGCCATCCCAACAACGTGACCCCGGGCGCGAGCACTCTAGAGACTGGCGGCGATGAATCTCCCGGAGCCGGAGCTCTTAGACTTAATAGCGGAGGCGCTGCGCACGGATCTCTCGTGATGGCGGTGCGCGTTTTCGGCGCGAGCGCCTGCGCACTCGCGCCCACCTGCGAAACCGGTGCTCCTTATTGAGCGGAAGGTCCACGAGTCCCGGCAATTTTGACAGGTTGACTGGCAAATGCCGTCGAGGGAGCCCTTGCTAAGACGACCGCTTGTGATTTACACCTTCAGAGGCAAAAAAAGCCGAGGATTGGTGATGATTGTACTCTTCGAATAAGTGATTACGAGAATACGAGGGAAATCCCTAATCAAGGATATTCCTTCAAAAATCGTCAAAACCTCGATCGACGATATTCAAAGCCCATCCCCCCTTGCTTGTCAAAGCTCCTTTCATCGTCTTTCGAAATAGAAAATAATATTACTCTAATAATAGTTTCTTTTCTTGAACGAACTTTCATAGGAATTTTAGAGGACAGCAGTTTTAGCGACGATGATAATGATGATCGTTTGTAATAATAACAACAACAATGATATTTAATGGTGATGTACAACAATTGAATTTACGAGCAACTTGCTTTGAACAAAAAAAATTATCTAATATTCGCTACAAATAACCTATAAAATTATATATAATAAACAAATAAAAAAACAGCTTCTATTTTGCTTAATTTACACAAAATTTTTAGAATGAAAAAATACTTCGTTTTAAGCTATGATATTTAATCATTGTAAATAATTAGTGATATTACATAAATTAAATTCGATGTTTGTCAGCCACTATTATCTACGTTTTTACATTATTCAAGATTCATTAGCAACAATTGATTGACATCGAATGTATACCTTCGCCGTCAAATGGTCGCAAAAGTCATTGACAATTAAACTTTTCAAATCTACGCAAACGCACCTAAGACTTTTATCTATAAAATCTATATCATAAAAATATTATATATTATTGAGAGATGAGAAATAAAAGGATGATGATACCGTGCGATGAAATTCATAAATTAATAAATAAAGAAAACCGATAATGAAGATGATGATGATGATGATGATGATGATGACGATGACGATGACGACGATGACGATGACGATGACGACGATGACGATGACGATGAAATTAATAATTGTGTGCGAACGTGTGAGCGAGGCAGGAAGATTTTCGTTCATTTCCCTTTTCGTATTATATCCCTTTTATCTTGATGGGCAACCATAACAGACGTCACTACTTGCTTCGAATGCAAATAGAATGCTATTATTACACATATAATTTAAAAAGAAATTTTTTGAGAAATCGAAGGTATTGACATGGTTTTAATAAACCTTCGAGGCATGTGCGGTAAGATAATTTAACTAAAAGCAATTTGAAATAGATTTTAAATGAATTTCCGAGAAGGCGATATACCGGCTTTATAAATGACTCGTAGGAGATGTAACAAATCTTGAGTTGGCAATAGTAGACAGGCGGATGGTTATTATTATCTCGTGTCGGAACATCAGGATTCGAGTAAATACAATGAAGGCGAAACTATGATTAAGCCGACTCTGTGGCCATAGGGAAAATCGTCAACAGTTGCTGACGATTAGAGCGCAAAACCCCGTGGCGGGATGCTGTAATCTGAAACTGTATATCGTATAAATAAATCGTTGACTAATCACGCGGCCAGGCCACAGTAATGCTAGAACCTCTTGTGATAAGAATGTTGGGCATTGGGCAACTTTTCGTTACATCATTAAGTAGTTATTAAAATATCAAATCTTTCGACTTTTTAACATCCGACCTTGTCGCCTAGGCAAGACTGGCATTACATACACAATTTTTTAATAGAGTCGAATCGAACAGTTGAACAAATTTCTCGGCATTTAAGGACAATAATTGATTGCTTTCAATAATCATGTGTCTCGCGTATTGCATTTATAATCCTTAGAATGCTTGTTACGAGTCGTGAAAAGTTCAAGATAATAATAACAAGGCTGACAATCTGTACATTGGAATATTTATTATTTACAATATTTATTATGTACAATGTCAATATTTCAGCTAAGGATTCGCGCATTGATGTTTAACGGCTTTCAACTTATCCATGCGCAACTATATAATAAACGAATTTTCTTGACACTAAATGAACATATAATAATAATATGTGTCATTTATGCTTGGAAGGTAGCGTCTTAATTTGCATGGATATTTATAGATATCGATAGTAATAAATAATCTTTTGCGCGTACTAATCTCGAATGGAAAAGAAAAGAAAAGAAAACGATGCTCTTTTGAATCTTTTGATGCTGAAAAAAAAATATATATATATATATATATATATAATATTTCTCATAACTATTGCGATCTCCTTGATTTGAGTAAAAGAACGACGGTTGATGTTTTAGTCCAAGGAAGCTAAGATAAGCTAACGAATAAGCGCAATCTCCCTATCAATGAGGTTATTGATCGGAACGAATGCACAATAGTCGTTATCGCGTCCTTTTTACACTCGAGCTCCTGTCGCCTCTTGGCTTCGTGGTACATTGCAACGTCCAATTGTGGTCACAACGATGACAGAATCGAAAAAGCTCTCTAGAATTATAAACTCGTCTGATTCGATTCGTCCCATCGGCTGACAGTGCTAGTCGTCGGAATTTTTAGTGCGACCTTATTCCCTAATGCATTTGGATAAGTCAGAATGAAAAATGTTGTGATAATGAGGCAACTTTTGTCAATGGCGGTAGAACATTGGATACGATGCATTAACAATTCATTCAAAATTCGATTATCTATATTGCTAAATGCGAAGATGATTTATCATTGTGCCAAGTTTCTCTAATACATTCGCCTCGCTACTCCTCGTTGCGTACTTTTGCGATACTTTCGATACTTTCGATACTTTCGTCTAATATCCAATAAATTGTTCATTTGACGTTTAATTGACGTAAAACAATATAGCGCCTTTTCGAAATACAGTCTCATTAATTTGTTAGCCACTTTTTCACATTCCATTAATTCTACCAGTAATTTTCCTTCTAATTCAAATGGGGATAAACAATCCAATTAGACGCCAATATACATTGTGCTCTCTTCCAAGCTTCGGTTTACACACACACTCTCTCTCTCTCTCTCTCTCTCTCTCTCTCTCTCTCTCTCTCGTATGTTCGTTTTTTTCGAAAGCTTCATGATCGACATTAGTTATTCAAAAGGACGCTACTCCCGCACCGAGTTAGGCATGTCAGCCGAAATTGGATGAAACGAGAATTTTTAAATCATCGATCGCTTAGTACCCCGGCAACTTTATGTTTTCGTTATCGATCGAACGACCTGGCCGTATCGCCTCGTACTGACCGCCCGAACCTCCCCATTATTCACTTGGAAGGAGAAGAAGTGCGTTTTGTGCGAAGCCATTCGATACTCAATCATCAATTCTTTTCCAAGTGAACTTTTTAGAATGGCAACTTGTTATATTCATTGCCAAATATTCGAGTTGGAAATTTATCAACAGCCCATAATACTCCGATAATTTCCTTTTCTTAATATCGTCTTTGTTTGATCTTTTTTTTGTTTTTTTTTTTTTTTTTTTTATTAGGATATGGGCATTAAACATAATTGAATATGAATAAGAAGCTTGGAAATAATAAATAAATAATGATTATTTGTAACTCACATCAACTGAGTATTTTTGTTTCGGCACACGCGCCTGTCTACATTCTATGTGTTTCCAACAGAAAACTGTTTGACCAACACTCGGTTTATCACATATTATCGAAATACCATCGACGTATTTGCTAAAATCAATCGGATATCACTTAAAAGATATTTATACGTACTCAGGCTAATACAAACATTTCATAAAATAAAAGAAAGAAAATCATCTTAAATACCCCCTGATGTTTGGTGTAAGTATATCGACGAAAAACATTTTTTTTTTTTCTTTTTTTCTTTTTTTCTTTTATCCAGACGAAGCTAAATAATAATGACACAAATTTTTAATTAAACTTTAATAAATAACACCAAGATATTTAATATTTTTATATTATTATTGTTATTATTATAACCTATTGAAGAAATAGCCTACTAAACGTATACGTTGTATATTAAAAACATAATAATAATAATAATAATAATAATAATAATAATAATAATAATAAATTCTATGCTCCTGAGGTACTATTAAATTTTTAATATAAACGACAATTGATGCGCTCTCCAGGAATTTTCTTCAAAATGCTTGCAAAAGCAGACTTTTAAAAACAATTATTTGCAAATGACTTTATTCTAAAATTGTTCGTCACGAGACAGAGAGAGAGAGAGAGAGAGAGAACTAATTAAAATGATTGTGCGGAAACTTTTTCACTTTTTCCTCAATTAATTTCACACTTAATTTTCGAATGCAAACGAAAATTGTCCAAATTAATTTACAAAAACGGTGACTACTAGATTTTCAATAAAAATCTATAGTTAATGGCTAATGTCAACTTGTACTAACAGATGCCGCCACAATTTCTAATACGTTTCCTTCAAATTCATAAAATTCTGTATCGATAAAAATAGTCGGTAAGCTGTTTGCTAAA